GATAGAGAATTGAATCTTATTCTATCTTAAAGATAATTTAATTTTGATTTAGAATATATAATTATACATTATAATTTATGCAGTTATAACCGAGTCCTTATAAACTCTGTAGTCTGGATAACCAAATCAAACTTGAAAATTGCTGAATTCATTTAGTAAACCAAAATGTGTTTTTCAATTTTTGATGTGTGAACATCTATCTATACCGGTGGTTTGATGGTAAATTTCAGGAAATGTGACGGAAGTGTGAAAGGGGAGGTGACGTCATAACCCATGTGCAATGCTAAGTTCGTAGCTACCTCAGCGCTTGCAGCCTATGAGGATTCATTAGATTTCCATAATGGATCAAGGCTGTTCAAAAGAGGACGTTGCTTAATAACTTGTACCTATGACATCATTGGGTAGGAATGCAAGGTGGTATTAGAATATTTTCATAAATGTACACGGTACTTTGAATACTTGGGTATTGAATACTTTGTAATTGTACTCTATACTCAAGAATATTCTACGCTAAGTACTTGTACCCGGTAGCCGAGTACATTTTGCCTGTACTCGAAACAGCTCTGACTATGCTACGCCCGGTCGCCTATACATCGTCTGGTCTAAAATTGAAACCCTTTCCAGCATAGACCATGAGCGGCCATTACTGCTCTAAACCCCCCCATGTGAAAGCTATAGCTACGTCGTTGGCCCGGTCTGTGTTTATTAAAATGAGTTCGCTTTTCAAAAGCCATGATCTATCCTTGGACATGAAGCTGAGATTCTTGCGTTGTTACGTTTTTTCGGTCCTTCTGTATGGCGTAGAAACTTAGACACTCACTAAAGAGACTACCAGGAGAATTGAAGCGTTCGAACTCTGGCTGTACAGGAGAATACTGAAAATATCTTGGACACAAAAAATTACCAATATAGAAGTAATGCGTCGGATGAATAAAGAACCAGATTTGTTAGATACCATAAAATATCGGAAACTTCAGTATTTTGGCCACATAATGAGGAACCCAAATAGATACGGGCTGCTACAGGAAATCCTACAAGGCAAAATTAATAGCAGGAGAGCACCTGGCCGAAGGAGAATATCTTGGCTAGCAAATCTTAGAACGTGTTTTGACAAATCAACAGTAGAACTTTTCCGAATCGCCATCAACAAAGTAAGAATAGCCATGTTGATAGCCAACATCCGGAACGGATAGGCACTTGAAGAAGAAGAAGGGTAGGTATTTTAATGTCCAGTTGGCCGAAGGTTGAAACTCAGCCATCGATCAACCGGACATTATAATACCGGCCCTAAGTGATCCTGGATTTCAACAAGGAATCGATGTAGATGTCGGGGTACATCAAAACACCGACCGGGTCAAAAGTAATTAAAGAATTTTCACAAAAAATTGTGTGGAATAAAAATGTTTAGATTTCTTTTCCTCAAAATGTCCGCGACGTTGTATTAGCTAAAGATGGATGGACGATACTTGGAGAAATATTAGGAACGATAGATTGTACCCACATAAGAAACAAAAAGAACCTATTTGAGGTTAAATACGTCCTAGTATTTACTACTAGTTTATACTTCTAACCTAAGTAAAGACTTCCCATAAAAGAATTTTCTTCATGTAAAAGAGTATACTCCACACATTACTAGGAAGTAAAAGCTCTTACTTGAAGTACAAGCAAATACTATTTTTAATCATACTGGCCAATGACACTTCATTTGACATTTTATCTCCAAACTATTTAAATTTTTACTTTTTTATCTAATGCGCCATCAATTAGTCAAATTGCCCAATTTTACTCCAAGGAACCTAGGAGAATTTGCTTATCTTGTATGTTATATCCTCTCCCAGACTCATTTAAAAATTGTAGAAGCGCATTTTTGGAATAATATCAATTTTTTTCAAATGAAAAGGGCGTGGATCATAAGCATATTCCAAGGCATATTCCAAGCATATACCAACGGTGACCGCTGGCGGTTGAGTTAGTCTTCACAACTAACAACTTAAAATTGATGAAAAACTTGACCGACAGAAATGAAACAGGTTCGGTAGCTTAGTTGGTAGAGCGTTGTACTGGGAAATTTTTCATAAACTCATTGATTGACACACTGTAATATGCCTTCTCAAGCAAAATACTCCTTACCCTTCAGCGGAACTGAATATATGGCAATTGTCTATAGTCAACACTCAAGTTATACATCTTGAGGCTTTCATAAATTATTGACCGTTTGGTCAGTCTGGGTATAGGAAGGCGTATATTTAGTATTTTCATTAAATAGTCGTTAACTCGTTAATATAATTATATTATATCGGAGGTCAGCTGCTATACAGCAAGCGGGAGTGTTTTGATCATTATTAATTTTCTTATTTCGTCTTACAATAAACATACCACTCAAAATTCAAAATGCTCATTTCATGCCAAATAAATTGTTCATTACAGTTGTCAAATTTGTTCATAAAATATAATTTCCGGGGGTCGAAAAATCTTAATCTCCGTCCTGATTAGGAATTAAATTCGGTCCCACCCGAAGTCTCCGTAGCTACTTAAGAGACGAAGAAAGAATTGCCCCAAAGTCATTTGACGATGAACGAGTACGAACAATGGTGTCTTCCCATTTAAAACGAGCTGAGAGTTGTAAAAAAGATAGTCCCAGAGGGTGATGGTGATGAGCTACAACTTTTATTATCAAAAAAAGGGGTCGAGGGAGACAAGAGGTGGTTTAATAGTTGTGTCGTAGTCCGTAAATTAAATTGGGGCCTCTACGTTTTTTTCAAAGTAGGTATTTAAATTGTATCTGGAGAAGGATATAAATACAATAAATTAAACCATGCAGTTGAAAAAGTAATTAGATAATAAAAAAACAAGACAACCTAGATCAATTATCATTCAGTGAAAGCTGATAAGCATGCGCAAATAAGATTTAAAATCTTTGGTAATTTTCATTTGTTTTCTATAAAGATGAGAATTTCATACATCTGTCAAAACTGGTATTCCAACAATAAATTGACATGTTTTGATTGTTGATTTGAACCAATCAGATTGTAATTACGCGATAATTGCATACTAACTGGTGCGAAAACTGGTGTTTTGACATTTCTTGACAAAAAATTTAAATTTTTGATTTATGAAATTCTCTCATTAAATACAACTCGTGCAATGGAAATATATTTATAGTTTTCGACAAATTTGCACTCATGCGTTTTTAACTGAAAAAGGCACTCGTGCACTACGTGCACTCGTGCTCTTTTTCAACTAAAAATGCATTCGAGCAAATTTCCCAAAAATTATCAATAATTTCCATTGCACTAGTTATATTACTATTGATTATTTCATTCATTATAAAATAGACCCATCAGACAACGTCATTTTTCGAATGAATTTTGTTTAAATACGTGATTATTTCACAAGACCTTGTTTATCAGCGATTAAATTTTTGTTTACCTTTTTTGACAGAATTTTGAAAGAAATATTCTGACATTTTATAAAAAATAGAACTCTTTAAATAGGATTGACGCCAATAATTCCATCCTAATTATTCAGGAAATAATCTAGCCGTATACTACTCGACCTATAAATTTAAATGGATTAAACTAAGTATCCAAATATTTTTTGCTTAATTTTGCTTTTTGGCAAATAGTTTTATGCACAATAACTTTTAAATAAAAGCCCTCGACCGCTTCGCGGTCGAGGGCTTTTATTAAGTTATTGTGCATTCAACTATTTACCAAGCAAAATCATGCTCAAAATATGTTGGATAGTTTAATCGATTTAATTTAAAGCTGTTGTGATATAATATATGATTATTGCATTCATGACATAATAGACGAATCAGACAACGTCATTTTTTGATAACATTTTGTTTAAATAAGTGATTTTTGCACAAGACCTGTTTATTCGCGATTAAATTTTTGTTTACCCTTTTTTGACAGAATTTTTATAGAAATATTCTGACATTTTATCATAAATAGAACTCTTTGTTGCTGGCTTTAAATCCAATTATTCAGGAAATAATCTAGCCGTATATCACTCGACCTTATAAATTTGAATGGATTAAACTATCCAAATATTTTTTGCAATATTTTGCTTTTTGGCAAATAGTTTCATGCACAATAACTTTTAAATAAAATCTCTCGACCTGAATCTCTCGGGCTTTTATTAAGTTATTGTACATTCAACTATTTCCCAAGCAAAATCATGCTCAAAATATGTTGAATAGTTTAATCGATTAAATTTAAAGCTCTTGTGATATAATATATGATTATTTTTAGTACAAGCTGATAGAAAATAAAAACTGATTTATTATAATCATATTTTTATAAAAAAAAAAAAAAATATATAATTTTTGGTAAAATTTTATGTATCAACATACAAGCAAGTATCAAGTTTGAGCGTCCCCCGATATCACCTTTTTCATTGTTAACATCTTTTGACAAAGGGCCCTACATTTTTTTTTTCCACAAAAATAAACAAAATGCTAATCACCCTAAAAATTTATTGCGATAATCTATTTTCTTCCTAACATTCTGTTAAACGTTTTCTTATGGAAATATTTAGTTGAATAATATTCAGTTATCAAAATCGTTGCACTTGTTAAACAATATTCCAACCAATTCGGTTACCTGCATAAGCCTTGAGCTGGATTTATAAACTGGAGTTTCACGTTGCTGTTGTCGTCGATTGTGATGAGTTTCGAGGATTAAATTTGATTTATAAACTTCGTCGTTCCATTCGTTAAAGAGAATATGATTGGTCCAGTTGTGCCTGACAGGTACATGGTATCGACATTGGAAATATAATACACACAAATCACAACACAAAACTACTGATAGTTGATGGAATAAAAATTACCTATCAATTCCGTAAGAAAAAGTAAATGAACAAAAGGCCTTGTAATGGCTGCGCACGCCCCACCCCATACTCCAATTTTATGAAAGATGGCCATCTTCGACAGTAACAGCAAGGCAAAACTCAAGTTTATAAATTCAGCTTAATGAACAAAAAGTGATACTTACTTCATCTTTTCCTTTCATTACACACATTTTGGCATCATGTTCATTGGAATACCATATCAGCCTTTGTTGTTCTGTAAGTTCAGCAAACGTCAGGTTATATACAACATTTCTGAAACAAAAAAAATATTTTATATGGGTTTTATTTATATTTCTTTTTTATTAATATTTATCACTTTTGACTTTTGACGCGTCGCAAATTTTTGTTACTTGGAATTTTATTGAATAAATTAAAATCCTATCCATTAAAATTTTAATAAATCCCGCCAGATAAAAAAAATATATCAAATGGAAGCGTACGTGTGTTCAATATTGCCGAGTTTGCATGTGCTAAATTTGGTTTATGAAGATGGATAAAAAAATTATATTTTAAAAGTATAATATTTTTGTTTTTAATTGTTTCGCAATTCTCTAATACCTATACAGGGTGTCCCACAATCAGCGTTACAGGCCATAACTTATTTTTAGAAATAAAAATTTGAAAAAAAAAATGACTAATGGTTAGTTAAGCTCTCTTCAAAAATATTAAAAAATCTTCCCCTGACAAAAATCATCCCCTATTTACAACCCTTCACTTTTTTTTTTTCAAATGGCACCCCTAATTTATTTTTTTATTTTTGAGAAGTTCATGAAATTGCAAATTCAATGATGTATGAATAGTATATTACATACCGAGGTGGAAAGTGTTTACTTAAATCTCGAGACAGTAATGAAACTTTTCACCGAGGTATGTATACTATTTTATTTACAATCATTCGAATTTAGAAATTTTGATTTGAATTAAAACTAAAAAATACAATAATTAACAATTTCATTTACTTTCGGCTCACGGGTCGAAAGTTTACTTTCGACCCGTGGGCCGAAAGTAAAAGTAAAAAAATACAATAAATTTTAAAAATTCCATTTACTTTCGGCCCATGGGTTGGACCCGTGGGCCGAAAGTAAAAGTCAAAAAAGTGACATTTTCGAACTTTTTAAAAGTCAGTAAAGTCAACATTACATGTATGATTGTAAATAAACGTTTGTTTTTCCATGTTTCGTTGGAAAAAAAAATCAAAAATGAAAAAAATAATAATGGGGTTCTATTTGAAAAAAAAAGCAAGAGTTGTTTTTAGGGGATGAGTTTGTTAGGGAAGATTTTTTAAATATTTTTGAAAAGGGGTTAATTTGCACACAATTAATTTTTTTTGTCATATTTTTATTTTTGTAGACAAAAATGTGATTGACTGTATAAGACTAAGGGTGGGACACCCATTTTTTTTCCCCCAAGAGACATGGAAAAACAAACTTTTTATATACCATCCAAATTTGTAATTTCATAAGCTTCTCAAAAAATAAAAAAAAATAATAGGGGTGCCATTTGAAAAAAAAAGTCAAGGGTTGTAAATAGGGGATGATTTTTTCAAGGGATGATTTTTTTATATTTTTGAAGAGAGCTTAATTAGCCATTAATAAATTTTTTTGTTTCAAATTTTTATTTTTGAAAATAAGAAAGTTATGGCCTGTAACGTTGATTGTGGGACACCCTGTATATTTTAGATGAAAGTAAATCGCTAAAATCTAGTTACAGTTGAGCATTTTTTTCACCTACTGATCATTATTTTTATTTATTTTTTCTGAAAGATAAAGAAGGTAAGCTCCGTTTCACCACGGTTCATACTTGACCTTGAAACTTGAAAAAAAAGGGTTGTCGTAGATTAATTCATATGACACATTCAATTTTTTTGACAAATTAAAATAAATGACTTCTGGTTGAAGAACCGATGAACGTTTTTGACGTCATTGATTTGTTTCAGTCAATTTTTATTTGTTAAACAAGGAAGGCAAATGCTGGTGGCAAGTACAAACCCTGGCGAAACAAACTTTAGGTATATATGTGACAACTTTTGGTTTTCATTGAACGAATATTAGCGTTCTAAGAGTGCTAAGTTTAAATCTTAGTCGTATTGAATTTTTGGCTGGCTTTTAATTATTTTCAAGTAGTTTGTAGTAAATAACTGCCACTTGACTTGATTATTTTTCTGTTCATGTTTGTACAGGGAAAACAAATTGTATAATTTGTATAATAGGTAGGTGGAACCAAAACGATGTAATCTTAAATAGCAACCACCTACTTGCGTTACCCTATCTGACAATTATTACATCAAATATTAGCTTGTAGGATAGGTACCATTGAAAAGCATTTTTTAAGAGCTTTCAAATAAGGGTTATTGTCATTTAAGAATATTTATTTGTGGTGGCGGAGGTCAGGGGGTGAGTAAAAGCAGGTTAGTTATTACAAAATTTTTCAGATTCCCCCTCCCTATTATAGAAATTATTTTCAGCAATTTCTTATATTTTTTTTGGGTTCTTCAGATATAGCAATTGTAAGTTTTAAAGTGTTACCCCGTAATCCGTATAAAGTTCAGATTATAGTTCGACGCATCTTTCACCTGCCATGACTGACCACCAGGGTAATGTTAGTTTTCCTAATAGCTCAAAAAAGTGTACATCGTCAGGTATCTTCCCGGCTCAATATGTTTCAAAGATTTCCCTCCACATGCCTTTATTCATTGACAATCTGACATATTCTATGTGTTAAATTTCAATCGAAATAAATACCGAACCTCATTTCGACCCATACAACGACGTATTCTGCAAGCGTTTGCGGAAACAAAAGGTCGCCACCCTGCCTTGTTATGGGTAATTTGCTGGTCATACACAAGCTCATTGCTTCGACAAAGATACGAACTACGGTAAACAAGGGACTCATATCAAAGCTTGACGTTAGCAGTCGGGTCTGGATGGTACATACACAGTGTGTAAAAAGTCCCGGAACAGTCAATTATTTTGAAAATAGTGCACAATATAAAAAAACTTCCTGTATAAAAGTTGAAGGTCTTGATAAAATCTATTGAAATAGGACTTATGTAATTATACAGGGTGGCCCAAAAAGTTGTGCTACACAAAACTTCATTTTTTTTTAATGGAATGATCCTTTTTTAATTACATTTTCTAATTCTTCTAGAGATTCTAAACAACAATTATGAAAGATATCATATGGCTAAACCCATTAGTTTCAGAAATAATTTGACTTGAAGGACATAAATACGATAAGTACGATATTACCTACATCTTGCATTGTTTCGAGTTGGTTCAAAATGGTAACCAGACCTAGCGCCCCTTGATTATTTTCTTTTTGGACATCTGAAAAATAAAGTGTTTGTGACAAAACCTCCAGATCTGAACGAATTGAGAAGATTAACTAAGAAATATTACAAAACGTCATCAATAAATTTTATTATAACCTAGCGTCAAATTGTGGGAGGAGGACATTTTCAGCATTTAATAAAATAACGTCTTACACTTAATTTTATTTCTGTTCTTTCAAAGTTATTGTTGATTTTACTTTACTGCTTGTATTTAATAATTTAGTTATTAATAAAATTTTGACTAAACTTGAGTGAGGTACATTTCATTTAACACAAGTTAAATGTTTTTTTTTTCAGGATTTAACGTGAAACATTTTGAAGCAACTCGAAACAATGCAAAATGTAGGTAATATGGTAATTATCGTATTTATGTCCTTCAACTCAAATTATTTCTGAAACTAATGGGTTTAGCCATATGACATGTTTCATAATTGTTGTTAAGAATCTCTAGAGGAATTAGAAAATGTAATTAAAAAAGGATCATTTCTTTGAAAAAAATGAAGTTTTGTGTAGCACAACTTTTTGGGCCACCCTGTATAATTACAAAAGTCCTATTTCAATAGATTTTATTAAGACCTTCATCTTTTATACAGGAAGTTTTTTTATATTGTGCACCAGTTTCGAAATAATTGACTGTTCCGGGACTTTTTACACACTGTGTATATATATATATATATATATATATATATATATATATGGATATAATTTTGGGAATCGATTTGGGGAATGCAGCAAAAATAAAGTGTACTCTTTAAAGTTTATCCGAGCTTTCGATAATGTTTATTATCATCTTCAGGGAACTATGGATCAATATACAAGTTAAAGACAATAAGACAATAATATAATGTAACTTACATCTTTGGTGAGATTATTAAAGATAAATGTTGTGTAATTGATCTGTTCCATTAGCATCGAGGACAGTGAGAACTTAATTATTAGTCATTAATACATAATAAGCTTGTTAAAAATTATTGAGAAAGTTAAGTTCTCACTGTCCTCGATGCTAATGGAACAGATCAATTACACAACATTTATCTTTAATAATCTCACCAAAGATGTAAGTTACATTATATTATTGTCTTATTGTCTTTAACTTGTATATTGATCCATAGTTCCCTGAAGATGATAATAAACATTATCGAAAGCTCGGATAAACTTTAAAGAGTACACTTTATTTTTGCTGCATTCCCCAAATCGATTCCCAAAATTGTCTTCGTACTTGTCAGCAACAACGTCCATTCTTCTTATATGGATATATATATATATACGGGTGACAATGAAACTACTACCCACGGCGGCATTTCTTAACGGCTCGAGATAGAAATATGCAACTCGGTTTGTTGATAGGGTTGAAAATTGTGAACAATTTTAATGTAAAAACAATCAATTAAATGTCTTTTCCGGTCTTACTGGAAATGACAGTTTTTACGTTAAATACAAACAAATAGGAATTACGACATATATTTGACCCACTGTATTTCAAAAACTATCAATTTTTGACATAAAGTTATTTAGAATTGTTTAGAGAGTCCAAAAAAAATAAAATATACAGGGTATCCTATTTAAAATAACAAAGTCAATGCCATTTCCGGTGGAATCGGAAAAGACATTCAATTTCTTTTATATTAAAATTGTTCACAATTTTCAACCCTATCAACAAACCGAGTTGCCTATTTCTATCTCGAGCCGTTAAGAAATGCCGCCGTGGGTAGTAGTTTCATTGTCACCCGGTATATATACATAGACGTCCTGACAACCTTTGTTAGCATATATGAAAGTTTGTATACATCTAATACTTTAATACTAGAAAGTTTATATTTCTGTTGCAAAAAAAGTTTTTATTATTAATTAAAAAACTAGGAGCCTGAATGGTATTTAATACGTCCTGATGAAAAGCGCCTCGTTATTGTCGAAACGTGAA